ATAATCTACGAGATCCCTACCTCCAATGTCAGTGGACTGGTGTGGCTGAATTTGATCCTTGGCTTTCTACTAGTAAATTTGCTATTTAACCTGTTAAAAACTGAGCTTTAACGGTGTGGTTTTTGTAATATCATTTATGTCGCTCTTCTAGTCTTGATGATCTGTCCTGGATTACAGTTCAGGGATTTAATCACTGGCAGTGCCTACTTGCCTTTGAACCATTGCGCTGTGCTTGGAGGAGTGAAACTGTAGGCTCTTTGGAGCAGTAACTTTGTACTTACTGTAATATATATGTAGACTTAATGTAAAAAACCCACCATGTCATAAATCCATTGGAAAATACTGATGTACATGTCTGTATTCTACAGCCTGTGTGTAAATTAGTATGACAAAGTATATTCGTTTTTCAGAAAAGTAAACTGACCTATCTTAGGGTCTCTGTCACCTAGGCAGAAAAGCGAGCAAGGAGAAAAATCGTGCCAGGTAAACCGTGCAGAGAATGTGTAATGAAAGTTGCGTATGAGTGTCCCCATGGAATACAATACCTGTGTGCATACAATGGGCTGTCGTTAACTCAGAAATGAGCATCGTTCCACAGTGCAGAGCATGGGGTACATTAAGAATGCCGCGTAAGCAGTGATGAATACAGCTTAATACAGTATCTGTATGAGAAAACTCTGGATTCTGTTGGTTATCAAACATGTACTGCAAGGGGTGATGTAATCAAAGGCACGGAGAGATACAGGACACACTGTAATCTGTAGTTAGGCATGCAAAGTGGACAGACATCAAGGTGATATCAGTCTGGAAGAGTCTGCCAACACCAGAGATAGAAACTGGAGCGGCCACAGAAATAAATAAGGAGTCAGGTGAGGAGGGAGCAGTGACCTATTTATGGTTCTTGGAACACCACACAAAAGCAAGCCTTGACACTAGCAAACCACAGAGTAACACACAGGCAGCAGTACGTGTACCACCAGGAAGCACCTGGCACAGCAGGTGGCGGTTTGGCGGGCCACAGAGTGGAAGAATGGGGAAATGATCACCCAGAGCAGACCCCTGGGACGTAGAGACGAGAACCAGTTAGGGCTCTGCACACCTTGACCAGACCGTCCCAACCATGCCGCAGTCATTGCCCCGCCCCCAAATGCACCACCTTTGCATTGCAGGCAGAGGCTTTAACGATCCTCACCATAGATCCCAATGAACCAATCTGTCTATCCGCCTCTCCACTGAGCTTATTGCAGGTTCCTTTGCCGCAGTTTAGGTGTGAGACTCACCTGCTCTGGCAGTAGTGGCCATACGAGACTGGCTTATGGGTAGGAACCCTCTTCGATACAGAGATGGTGAAGGATAGTGTTCTCTTTGGTGGTCACAACTGCCTGCAGCGTGCTGTTCTTGCATTGTTTCCCAGAACACATCAACTATTTTTGGGCAGAGAGCATGTGGCATGCTCACTTTTCTGTGCGGTGCATGGGCTGAGTGCTGATGGTATGCAGTTATGGGACGCTTAGGAGGGCGGAAATGTGATGTGATCTCTTAGAACAGTATTGCACAACTTGTATCTTTCCTTCTGTCTAGATTCTTGTGGAGCCCACTACCGCCAGTACTTTGCTTGTGCATCATGCAGTGAACAGAACAGTTGGAGCCTAGATGACTTTGAGAACTGGGGGGCCTCCCATCCGTTTACACAGCCATGTAAAAATTGAGCTCTGGAAACTTACTTCCATAGTCTAGCTCCGGGGGTCTCACAAGAAATTTCTTGGTGGCCTCAGACTGTGGCCACCTACTCTTGCTGGTGGCTGCTGACCGGTTTTTTCCTAAAATACTTAATTAATTTTTAGGAAAAACAAATAAATATGCACATAGACATGTCCAAATCATTATAATTTATTTATGTACATTTTTATTGGAGACTCAAAAATAATGTACAGTTGACTCTTATTCTTTACTGGACCTAAACGAATAGAAACAAATAATGTGCTTTGTGTGTTCTGGTCTTTTTGTTGTTGTTGTTGCAGCTTCTGTTTGGTTGCTTCTTCTTTTTTCTGTTTCTGTGAAAAGTGACATTTGTATGTCTAACACTGCTTTGCCCCTCCTCCCCCCTAGTCACTGCCCAGGAGGGTATGGCCGCACAAAAAGCCCTTGGTAGCCACATTTCGAGAAATGCTGGGTAGCTTGTACTTCTCATCAGCGATAGTGTCTTCCTTAGCTTGACTGAACTGCAGGGCTCCCGTAAGACAGTATTGGTTCAAATATGATATGGCAGACTCTCACGTTCTTAATTCATTGGTTAAGGCCCATTCATCACGTTCTGACGTGTATAACGAGCCCTGTAAAGGGGGTTAGGGTCTGAGTGGTGAATACTACATCCATCCAGAAATGCTTATCTGCTGTGTTTTATTGGGGTGAAACAAAAGGGGAGAAGTCCTGTGTGTGAAAACAAAGAGCTCAGTGACCCACTCGGCATGTTCAGTGGGAAGTGTGATAGGCGTGCTCTGTCTGAGACCAGTTTCCACAAAACTATCCAGTTTCTTTGAGAAAATAATCCAGTGCAAAAAGCCTGCAAATCTCCGTCATGCCTTTAGATAGTTAGTCTAGTCAGATACTTCTAATGGGAGTGGGGTCTTATTTGCCCTTCCATGAAACTTCTCAGTAAACCTGCCTTTTGTCACTGTATGTAAATATCTATACAGTGTCCAATCTTACACCCTACCCTAGTCTACATGTAAATCCCATTAGCCTGGCAGGGGAGGGAGTATGCAGTGCCCAACACCTTGGGGTTCCAATGGTGATTGTCTTTTTTGGTCTAGTTGGGCAATAGGATATGTCTTCCCAAACAGGGCCCTCTTGAGGATGGGAGGTCACTGTCAGACCTCCTCAGCTGTGTGGACTCTAACAAAAAGGGATAAGCTCTAGAGAAGGGAAAGATAAAAGGAGAGGCAAAGTAAGAAAGAAAGGAATGGAAAGGGGAAGAGAGGAGGAAGTATATGTGGGCAGGAGGAGGGTAAACTAACATGGGGTATATAACACCCTGGGGAAAATTTGCAGGCTGGTTGTATCAGCTGCTGTGTGTAAAAGTGCAGATGGAAAAACTAATGCAAAATTAAGTTTGTGCACTGAAAACAAAGTGAAGTCAGGAAGTTCACAGTGTATGGTTTCATGCAGCCATGTTACCTTGTGTATCAGAGGGGTAGCCGTGTTAGTCTGAATCTGTAAAAAGCAACAGAGGGTCCTGTGGCACCTTTGAGACTAACAGAAGTATTGGGAGCATAAGCTTTCGTGGGTAAGAACCTCACTTCTTCAGATGTTCCATGTTACCTTGGTCCCATTGTACACCTGTGGTATTTGCTATTCCTGTATATTTAATGTGGTGAAGCCAGCTCCTGTTGTGGGATCCTTCACTTTTCAATTTCAGAATGATGTTTAACTTTGCCACTGTAATGTTGCACTAACAAAATTCGTTGAATGAAATTTCTCTCTGAGAAAAGGACCAAAATCCCAAACTAAGCTGGAGGCCGGCCAGCTCCTCTGCTGCCATTTCTGATGTGTCCTTCCTCCCCCATCCCCTCCCTTCACTGCCGAGGGAAGAGACTAGAGAGTCCTCTCTGTCTGTCTGTCTGTCTTGCTCAGCTTCAGACTTAAACACCATTTTCCCTTTAAGTGGGTTGCAGGCCAGATCTCACCCCTAACCTTGGTGCCAGCTCTTGGAGCTGTGGGCGCTCTCTCTCTGCCTGAACTCACCTGGGAGTGCAAGGCTGTGTCGTGCCTGTCACCCCCTCAGTTTAATAGCCTTCGGATAACTGGATCCAAACGGACCTCACGGAGAGTCTTTACTCTTGGTCCGCTTTGCAGCCCCATGCTTAGCACATTAGCTCTTTCCTTTGCTCTCACGGTTAGAGGGATAGGAGAGATTCCTTTGAAAGGTGGATTCCAAAACCACTTAGTGCCCAGTGGGCGGGCAGGCTGCAGGGGATAAATGGGGCAGGCAAAGGCCCTCTGCCCTGCTCAGCAAGGACATGATCCGATAAAGGGAAAACCGAGGGGTGTGAATGTAAGAGTTTGTTGCTTGGGTTTGAGTAAGTAGAGCCGTTTGAAAAGTATGTGCATTTAAATGTAGAAACTTCTCTAGTTTAGGACAGGAAGTGAAGATTTGTAAGATTAGTTTGAAACTGCAGGAGGAACTAGGTAGGCTGGAAGGATGTAGCTACTCAGATTCAAATTTGAACCAGTCACTGGCGTGAATTCTTTTTAAAAGTGCTTATGTGATTATTTTTAAATGAGCACAGTTGACTACAACCTCCGTTTTTTACAGTACTTCTCATCTGCAAGTTGGCACGTCAAACCGCTCAGAGCAGAGCTTCCGTCACTGCTTTATGCAGGAGTCTGGTTGTTTTGGGAGTTTTCTACCCCTGGATTTGTCTCATCCAGGTACTAACCAGGCCCCACCTGGTATCTTGAAGTATTGTGGCAAAAGGATATGCCTATTGAATACTTCTGGGTTTGTTTGTTGCTCCTGCCTTAATTTCAGATGAAGTGTTTTTTGTTTTGTTTTTAAAGTGAGACATTTATATAGGAAATAATACATAAAACTTTATTAATAGTCTTCTGGTCTGTGTGTGGATTCTTTTGCAAAACTTGTACAAGGACACTTGCTTATTGGTCTCCTGGGGGGGGGAAATTGGGAAAAGAAACCTGGAAATTGCGTTTCCTGTTGAAACTCTGATTACGTGCATCACTTGTGAACCTATACTATCTTGGATCTCCCTTCACCTGCATGGAGCCCCCTTGAATTCAGCCCATGGATTTCATTGCAAGAATGGAGACTGTGATTCAACATAAAATGGAGTTAAATATCTAGTAAAGCTGTTTGATGCACCCATCAAATCACACCACATTGACTTGAATCTCCTGCTATGGGATTACTGCAATAACCATTTTCAAAAAAAGAAACTATTTGCATATTAACTGCCTCATGTATGCAAAGGAAGGTTTCCTCATCTTGCTAACTCTGTGGTTCTTGCAAACTCTCTTGGGTCCTGTCCCCTTTGCTCTTAAAACAAAAGATTCTCCAGATTTCTCTGGTGATCTGTCACAGTAGGGGGACCTGACTATTGCGGAGTTTTGGAACACTGCTCTGCCTCCAGCCTTTCCCCCTCCCTGAGTGTCAATGGTCTGTGGTACCCCCTTGACAACCTATATCATGCAGGGCTCTGTAATGCAGCCATAGAGGTGTATTCTTCTCTCAGTGTGGGAGAACTTGCTCTCATAACTTGCCTGTTGATAGGGGAGTATTTGCACTCTTTATTCTGGCAAAATGGGGGAGGATTTACTGTAGTGGGTCACCGCTCGTGCTGTGTATCCTGCTAGTGTTTCTACCAGGGATGTACTGAGTGTGGTAAGACTGCGTGAGGATTTTGGTTAACAATGAACTGTTTTTATTCTTTGATCACTGTGGTGGGGCTTTTTCATCTTAAAGGGCTGCTTCCTTGCTTGATCATCGAGCTGTGTCGTTTGAAGGTGGCACCTTCCTAAGGTCTGATCATCAGCAAGGAGCTCCCATACAGTAATTTATCCCAGCTTTTGCTGAATGGGGGCAGGGTCAACCACATGGGCAAATCCTGCATCCTCCTTTCCCTCCTCCCTCTGTTCCCCTCCATGCCCGCTCTTTCTCTACAGTATGGGGGAAGGGGAGGGTGAGACAGAAGATACAGGATCCGTACATGCTCAGGTGAGTGCAGAAGGAGAATCAGGCTCTATCCACTACCCCTTCCCGTTCCAGAAACATCTGAAGCCTGCCTTATAAACTCTTCAAGAAAAACCCATCTCTGTGGGGAAAACCTCGCCTTAGAACTCTGAAGCCCACAGAATACTGTGCGGGAGACTTCCAAGAGTACGTAGTGGAGTTAGGATTACAAGTGCCATGGAAAGTCAGGCACTCCCTAAAATGTAGCTTTGCATAGTATTAGTCAACCTGTTTCACGTCTCAGAAAATATCTATCTCCACAGCCAGCGGTCTAAAATTAAAGTTTACTTCTTTGAATAGCTTGTTATGATAAATTGAGATAATTTCTTAATGCAGAAAATGGTCTTTTAAATGACTGATGTATTGCATTGACAGGCAAGAAGTTATCAGAGCTGTAGGCTCTTTTTAATGAAGTCTTGAATATTCCAAGCTATTGTTAAAATGTCTTTAGCAGTAACTTTGATGAACAGTTGTTAGGAACTACTAGTAAATCATGTAAACTAGGTTTAATGCAATAGAACTGGCTCTAAGCCAGTTGCAGAATGCCATCTATGTTCAGGTTTGCTTCATTTGTCTCTCTCTAATAACCGTGTTTGTGAAATGTAGCTAAAATCCATCCTGAGATGTTAAGCTAGCATTGTAAACAACACTGCATGGCAGAAGCTGGAAATAACCATCCAGCGCAGTTGCAAAGTAGAACAACGAACTGTTGTATTCGGTTCCATAGCTTAAGTTTTTTTTATTGTGCTTTGCTTGTGAATTAACTGTTTAAACATTTATATGTATCTGACTGTAGGATAAACATTTTAACACATTTGAATTTTGTCTTTTCCAGGTTAAAGAACTCGTTCTTGACAACTGTAGGTCAAATGAAGGCAAAATTGAAGGACTCACAGATGAGTTTGAAGAGCTGGAATTCTTAAGTACAATCAACGTAGGCCTAAGCTCAGTTGCAAACTTACCAAAGTTAAACAAACTTAAGAAGGTAAATAAAGACGTGCCACATGTTGTATTTCTCTTTTTATATTTTTTCTTGCAATATATTAAGTGCGAAATAGACATTCACGTAAGAGCTTCCTCTAACGAGTTCCGTTGCGTTTGTTTTAAAATCTCTTCAATTTTTATTTTTTGGTCTGACCTCTAGCTCGAACTAAGCGATAACAGAATCTCAGGAGGACTGGAAGTATTGGCAGAAAAGTGTCCAAACCTCACGCATCTAAACCTAAGCGGCAACAAAATAAAAGATCTCAGTACAATAGAACCTCTGGTGAGTTAATGCGACAGCAAAAAGTGCTTTAAGTGTAGTTAAAACCCCTAGATATGTATGTGACCACAGGTCCCTTACAAGCTGACACCCCAAATAGAATGCGAGGTTGTCCACATCTGATACTTGGGCCTAACTGAGGCAGGCTGTAATATATTGGCTGTGTGTGTGTGGTAACGCCTCCCTCTAGCGGCCCGTCCTCATCAGATAGTCAGTACACCTCCATATTGGGGCGGAGAATGGGTGTGGCTTAGGGGAATTTGTAGTGGGATATGGAGTCCTGAGGCTGATAGTGCAAGTCTAGTGCAGACAATAGCAATCGAAAGTTGCTCTGTGGTGGCTGTTCACTGGGCTATTCCATGAGTTGTGTTGGTGGGCTCCATCCAGTTTCTGGTGGGCATTTGGTGACATCACAGTCCTCTTCCCTCCCCCATTTGTGTTTGATACTAATTAGCGCACTTGTTGCATAAAGAAAACCCAAGAACTGGAAGGGCCAAGGTTACCATGGCTACATTCTCCACTCCAAAAATGATACCGTCAAGCCATGGCTGAGATTGGATGGGGGGGATGTACGCACAGGTGGCTCACTGTACTTCACTTCTCCTGAGACGAGAGGAGGGGCTGCAGTCTCCAGGACTGCCCATCTGGAATTAATCAAGAGCCCTGAGACTGACCGTAAGAGTGTCCTCACATTAGCCGTGCACCTATCAATGTCCCACTTCTGCTCTGGAAGTGTGAAAGGCAGCTGCCAGTCATTTCTGTACTCTTTAAAAGTGGGAACAATCTTACTCTTCAGGGTAGCTCGTCAGGCGAGAATAACAAAGCCATTTTTTATTTTACAGTATTTTGGTCCCTCAGCCCCACTCCTCCACCGGACACAGTTCTGCTAACAGGTCCCTGGTTTGGAAACCTGTGGGCCATTCCCGACTCTTCCATTTTCTACCCCTGTTCGTGGCTGGCTTCTACTAACAGAAGCACCGACTCCCCCTGAGCAGTCCCGTTGGCATAGCTGGTGCATAGCCCTGGCCGCATGATCTCATAACTACTCCCTCTTTTCCTGTTGGACTCCTTTAAATCTCTTGTTTTCATGACCCCTCAACCATTGGGTTAAAAGTGGATCAGATTACCGTTTCAGAACACAGCTGGTGCCCCTCACATCTTGCCCGATAATACTGTGGTGCTTAGGAATCAGGTGGCAAAATCAAGGGCTAGGGCAGGCTTTATCGCCTTTTTACCCCGTTAATCTTGCCATGAAAATCTCAAGCTCCTGAGGCGTCTCCTGTGTCGCTGGGACCCATCGCTAGCTCTACACGACGGGCAGGGTGGCCATGAGCCTCTGCCACCTGCTTGTGATCTCAGGGCTCTAAACTAATAAACCTTCACAATTTCATAGGAGAACATTGCTCTACAGCCTTCCTACTAAGCTCTTAGCGGGAAACCTTTCAGAACATCCAAGGCAAACCCTTAAGCCACCACACTTCTCTTTTATTGCGTTTAGTTTGTCAGTGGCATTGCTTCCTTTTCCCACCTAAAAATTCTGTGCAGCTGAACATAAGCTGAAACCCCTTCTGCCCTTCTGGTTTTCATCCAGCTGTTGGTGGTTATGTAGGCACTGGCCCCTGTGTGACATTGGGTCAGAGACTTTACCCCGTTCTATGCCTCAGTTTCCCCTTTGTAACATGGCAGTATTGCTACAGAGCTTTGTAAAGTGCTTTGAGATCTGTGAACAAAGAGTACTCATTTAAAACACTCCCTTTTATCCTTAGAAGTTGCTTGCCGAGATATGTACCTTTTGGGTGTTAACTGGCTGCCCTTCAGTTTTTAAAGTCTTCCCAAGACAGGTCTCTGATGGAGTCTTCATTTTTACTTACAGAAAAAATTAGAAAACTTGAAGAGTTTAGATCTTTTCAATTGCGAGGTAACCAACTTGAACGACTACAGAGAAAATGTGTTCAAGCTCCTCCCACAACTCACGTATCTCGACGGTTATGACCGGGATGACAAAGAAGCCCCAGATTCCGATGCAGAGGGCTATGTGGAGGGCCTAGATGATGAAGAGGAGGATGAAGATGGTATGTTACTAGCTCCATTTAGCGTATTTAGATTATAGCCAACTGATGTGCATGCTCCTTTCTTCTCCAAAAGCAACCCATTCACCTGACTTGTTGGTGAGAGAAGGGTTCTCCCAGCACCCAGTTCCCTGGCTTATGTAGATATGAATGTACCTGTGGCTCCTCCATAGACCGAGGAAAAACTAGACTTGGATAGCCCAGGCAGGGCCTAAAAGAGACGCACACCCTTATCTTTAGTCAGAGAGTGCTGCGAGGTCTGGCCAGGAGAGAGAATGAGACAAGCACATGGGCAGCGAATGGGAAGAAGCAAAACTGAGGGGAAGGTGACAGGAGGGAGAAACTGATCAGAGAAACTGAAAGGACATATGTATTGCTCTCCATCTTTCAAGCCTTTTACAGTTAGGCAGTAATAAGGCATTTTCCCCATTTCCAGTTGAGAAAGCTGTGGCAGGGACAGAAGCAAAGCACATTTAGCTATTAAAGATTGAGAGGACAGACCCTCAGAAAGGGGGAGGGGAAGGGAGACTGAGAATGGAAGATAGCAGCCGGATTAGGGGACAGTGAGTGAGGCTGTCATGTGGGTTAATAGGAAAGTGTGACATTGAATGATCAATAACAAAGTAAACAACGGCTGAGATGGATCAAAGGAGCAGAGAAGGCACATGCTGAACTTTGCTTGGGGCCAGCGCTGTCAAAGACACTGCAGAAGCAGAGAGTAACTTTAGGACTGTTAGGAAAACTAACCTGCCAGTTCTCTTGGGGTATATTGTGCCATTCTGCTTCACCCCGACAGCCTGCATTCAGAGGCATCTGGCTTACCAGTTGGACCAATGTCAGGCTGGGTTTGGGGAATTTGCTAGACTCTTCAAACCAAGCTGAAAAGCAAAGCACACAGAATAGCTGGACTTGCACTTTTCTCCTCGAGTGCGGAATTTGTTGTGTCGTGTTGTGATCCAGTAAACACTGCAGCAGTGCCTGGCAGAAGGGTGCGCTGACAGACCCAACGCAGAGGTTCAGTGGGGACAAAATCTCTCTCCGGCACAGTATAAATGCAGGCCTGAGTGAAAATGCTTTAACTTCCTTCTCAAAAATCCATACCGGTCGCTGGATTATGGCCCCCTTCGCATTGCTCTTGCAGCCTAGCGAGGATTGAGCGACCTCTGGGGGAACTTTCCCATCACTGGGACTGGACAGGGTTGCTATGTGCAGCTCTTTCCCTCCCCTTCCTCCCCGCCACCACCAGGTGTAAGGAGCGAGCGGGGGGATAGAGGGTTCTGGTCATTCCGTGGTGCTGGGAAGCCCACTGGCAGCAGTAGGGAAGCTGCTGTAAATCAGAGCAGCCCCTGGTCTGCTCTGACTTACTCCCGGGCCACCCATGTTCCCCCAACAGCTCAGGATCTGCGAGGCACACAGGTGGCTTTAAGCCACCATTGCACCACTCTGTGCAGGATTCACTCTGGCCTCGTACCTTGCACCTGGAAAAAGGCAACAAGCTAGATTCTGCCCTCAAGCAGTCCTTGGGTGTGTGCCTTTTACATCAGTGGGAAGGCAGGATTTGGCTGGTAATGTTTGAAAACTAAGCTTCCTGTAGACAGTTAACTGAGTTGATAGTCTTGCTTGCTTGTGTAGAAGAGGAGTATGATGAAGATGCTCAAGTAGTAGAAGATGAAGAGGAAGATGAGGAGGAGGAGGAAGGAGAAGAGGAGGATGTGAGCGGGGAAGAGGAGGTAAGGATTCGTGGCAGGGGGAACATCTGTGGCAGGTCTGAATACCCGCATAGAAATGTAAACCACATCACAACCTTTGTTTTTAAGTGCCCACTATTTTTTTTTTTTCTTTCTTCCATCTAAGACGCAATGAAAATACATGGGGATAGGTTTTGAAGAGCATCTGCCTGTGTGCCAGCTGCCATCTAGTGACCAGGAATAAATCATTCAGTTTCTTGGGATCATGTTGAAAACAGATGTAACGTTCAGCAGCTCTGTCGTTAAGGTGTCCAGAGCTAGCCACTTTTCTCACACTCAGACTAGTAAAAGCTGGAGTCGAAGTCTATGTGAACAATTGAGAGAAAGAACCTATGTCTCAAAAAGCAGATGCTTAAAGGAAAACTGAGCCCAGACTTTTGCACAATGATACGGGTATAAATAAGATTTCAGTCAGAATGTTTGAGAATAAGATTGGCCTGAAAGTAGAAAACGAAGTACTGTTGGCTTCAGACTCGGGGTGGGGGTGTTTGTCCGTGGTCTTTATCTAAAAATAAAAAGGTGCCAATTTTTATAGTACAGAGATTCTTTCCTAAGTCTAACCTCCGAGAGGTTGAATGGGTAAAATGGAAAACCGAATTCAGCACAGTGTGTGGTTCCTACAACTGACTTTTCTTCCCCCTGCCCCGCCCCCTTCTCTCTCTCTCACACAGCTTTCCCTCCTACTGTTAAAGTAGTAACAGAAGTGGTGAGGTCCTGTGTTTAAGTGTGTAACTTTGGAATGCTTAGTTCTAAGCTTAGTGTCCCATTTCCACAAACGGGCCCTGATCCCATTGAAATTAGTCTTGCCATTGATTTCACTGAACTTGACTTGAATTTTTGTGTTTACATATCAGTGTGGCTTTTAAAACCATGCAGTGAGAAGATCGGTTTCTTCTTTGAGAGGAGGCCAAATTTTAGATGAAATTGGGTAATATGGCTACTCTTGAGTCCTGCTGTGAAGAGTGGGCCAGAATCCAGTGTAGGAAGGTATTTTAGGGAATAAATGTGCACACTTATGCAGGGGGAAAGACACCTTTCAAGGGATTTGCTCAATTTCAAGATACTGTTGAAGGTTGTCGATTGGGAAAGGTGTTGAACAAAACTCTTTGTTAATCTTTCTGTAGGAAGATGAAGAAGGTTATAATGATGGTGAAGTAGATGATGATGAAGAAGAAGAAGAAATTGGTATGGCAATAATACAAACTTTACTATAGAACAAAAGTAGTAATTTACTGTTTTTAAAAGCAGAACTGTATCTGAATATATATTGCTGTGGTACTAAGCCATTTCCTAATGTAGCCATTTGTATGAATTGTTTGTTTTTACGATTATGCTATGATAGTACATCAAGGTACACACATAAACCCAGTCCGTTTATTTTGCAGAAGAAGAAAAGGGGCAGAAGAGAAAACGAGAACCCGAAGACGAGGGTGATGAAGATGATTAAACTGAATAACCTATTTTGAAAGTTTCCTATTGTGATTTGACTGTTTTTACCCTGTATTCTTCTCCCCTCCCTCCCCCCCCAACTTATTTTTTTTCTGATTGTAATGTTGCTGTGGGAATGAGAGGGAAAAGTGTTTTGGGTGGGCGAGGGAAAATACTATTTTTACTGCCACTCCTACTTTTCATTTTTAAATTTTTTTTGTCCCTTTTAGTTCCTGACTGTAAATGCAATAGTAAGTATAAACCAAGTGGCAATTTGTTTCTTATTATTGGAGTGGATAGTTTGACATCTTAAACTTAAGATCACTAGAAGGTATCCAAAGTAGGCATACAGTCTGTTTTGAGACCGCTAAATATCTCTGGTTGTTGGGATTTACCATCTCTGCCAGTCACTAAGCATATTGTAAGCATTTTTTCGGGGGGGATGCTGCAGATCTAGGCAAAGCATCCAGTCCACAGCAACAGGAGTGAGAATGGCATATTGATAAAGTGATTTCTTTGTTGCCTGTTTGTGAATGACTGCCATTTTCAGCCAATGCTTTCCCTGCTTCTGTAGGTAACTCTTATTTTGCTGTTTGTAAATAGTGACCAAATGTGTTTTTTGTTTTTCCTTTTGTTGAGTTCCTTTGGATCTGGTTTATGGGGTGACTACTTTGCAATCCCCCTCTGTGTGTTGTGTTTTGGGGGGTTTTCCTTTCTTATTTTTTTTGGCCTGGGGTACAGCCAATACACTGAAAATGGCAGGCATTTAAATATATATATAAATATATATAAAAAAGTGTTCCTAATTCCTGAGTTACTAGTGAAATGAATTTGAAAATTGTAATAAAAAAATGTTTCAACCCTTTTAAATAAGGTGTGTACTATTTTGGTCTGTAATATAGAACGACACTTAGTCAATTTGAAGTGATGAGAAACGACTTCCACTTGTGCTATATACTTTGAAAATTTTTACAAACCTAAATACAGGAGACAGTACAGCATGTAGTGTAGAAGGTTTCTTTTCATACACGCAAGCACGAAATACTAATACAAAATTGTATTTTCTTACCTAGTGGAAGTCAGTAAAATGACTGAAAATACCTAGTGAATGTACAGTTTTACTTTCATATCCCTCTTTAAAATAGCTTTAGAAGTGACTTGTATTTCCTAGTCAATATTTCATCTGTATAAATACATTTGCAAGTTTTTTTTTCCCCAGAAGAGCCAAACTTTTGAGTTTTATGTCTGTTTGTCATTGATGAATTTCAATAAATCTTTTTATACAATTTTTTTTTGTGGCTTATTTGAGTAAAATGGGCCACTGGGAATGAACTGCATACCTTAAACGATAACATTCTGTTGAATTCCCTGGTATTTTTAGTAGTCGCTTCATACATTTTCTTCTATAAAATTGCTCTAAGCCATGGTTGGGTGAAAGCAAGGGGATATTTTCGCTTTAATGCAAATGATGGTATGCTATCTTTATTTCAGAATGTTTGTTTATTTTTAAGTTGCCGATAAGGTGACTCTTACATTTTATCATGTTAATTTTTCCCATCAGTGGTCTGTCCTAGCCATATTAATCCAAGTCCAACAGAGATTGTTTTAGTTACCAGGGCTCTACCTGTCAGTTGCTAGGCCAATCATGAGCAACGTTGGTGTGGTTTTTGCTTGCTAATGAATGAGATGAAGGTTCCTAGAAGTCCTCTTTTGTTTTTCATTGAAGATCCAAAGGAAAATCTGGCTTTCCTTTGTTGGGAAGGGGTTCTGTACCATAGATGTTTGGCGTACAATGTTCATAAAAGGGATACACATAGAATGATGCAAGCTACCGAAGAGCACACGCACTCTAGCCACCTTTAAGAATGTGCCAGTTGCTTTACGTATAACGGCATATTTGCAGGTAGGCAATGACACTATTTGCAGCATTTGTTTGTAAGGTGTTTCTTAAAGTACGTGAATGTAGAAGTGAATGTGACAGACACTGGGGTAATCTATATACTTTAAGTAAAATTGGTAAGTTTAAGGGCCAGATTCTTGCAACCAGAGCAGTTGTTGGGTCTAACTAACAAAACACCAGACGCCTCCAGAGCCTTATCTCCACTACAGCTGCTGTCTCTAAAACCAGATCAAGACAATCGGTGGGGATACTTGTGTCAAGTTCCCTAGTATAGATATGGCCTTGCACCAGTAAAACAGAATTTGGTCTGTTAACTTTACACCATTCTTCTAAAGCTAATTGCCTTCCTCTCGGCTGTTTCATGATGGAACAGACTTGTGGGAGTTATACAGAAGCAGAGTTTATAAAGGCTGATGGGACGTAAGTCAGTTTTGTTTGTTCCACTAGTAGTCCGTGTGCACCTACCAAACTTTGTTCTCTTGGAAAAGAAATTAATTATTAAGAAATCATTGCAGAGGTAAGAAATTCCCAGTGATTCGTGATGCCAGAGGATGTACATTGCATATATACACCCATAAAGTAAACATCTACTGAGGTTATTACTTAGCACATGAAATAACGTTCCTGTGCACCAAGCATTGCATTTCCAGTTACTTGTTAATTGTTGAGGTCTGTTTAAAAAAAAACAAAAGCTTTCCACCACAGCACGGGAGCGAAGGGGGACCCAACCGCTTTCTTAGTCTGGGACTGCACCCATTAAAGTCGAAGGGTAGAAGATCTGTCTGAAAATGTATTGTGACATTGTCTTGGAGTTCACTGTATTATATCTTGCAGTGTCCTTATCTTATAAAGACAGCAGTTTGGCCAGTGAATGGAGCATTTGGTAGCCAGATCCTAGTGGATGATTTTGGCAAACTTAGTAAAATGTTTGTGGTGTTTCGTTTTGTGAATATTTTATATATGAATGCAGTAAATAGACTTTTACCAGACTTCGCTAGCAGGATCGTTCTTGGCCCCCCATCTCCTCCTCCTTGTTTACTATAACCGATTTCAACAGGGAAATACCATGTGTACCTGAAGTTCTCCTGGTGGAGATGAGACCTGAAGTTTCATGTCACTCAGATCTTAAGTTGTTTTTTTTTTCTTTCAATTGTTAAATCTTCCCTACTAAACACTTAGCATCTTTAATAGGGTTCAATCTTGCAGTTCCTGTGAACAAGACAGAGTTCCTATTGGTTTCAGTGATTGTTGCTTAGATAAGGACTGCTGGGTCAGCTCTGTAGTTGGGACATCACTATCTTTTCACTCACCAACACGGACGCTTTCCAGGTCATCAAATGAGTGTCACATGCGCATCTTCTGTCTTCAAAGAGTTTACATGGACTTGCTTTTCTTTATGTACCTCAAATATACGCACCATATGGAGAATACTTCACACTAAGGGTATGTCTACACTACCCACCGGATCGGTGGGCAGCGATCGATCCAGTGGGGGTCGATTTATCGTGTCTAGTTTAGACACGATAAATCGACCCCCGAGTGCTGTCCCGTCAACTCCTGTACTCCTCCTCCGTCGAGAGGCGCAGGCGGAGTCGACGGGGGAGCGGCCGCAGTCGATTCACTGCAGTGAAGACACCACGGTAAGTAGATCTAAGTACGTTGACTTACCAGGTCACTTGTTTGGGGGCCTAATTTTTGACACTCCTTGAGCAGGTTAATAAATGGCAAGTGATTTAAGAACTTCCTGTTCTGTTAACCATTTCACTCAAGCAATCTGGAATTTGGCCAGTAAGTGCTAATATAAGGCCTGGTTCTACAGTCATGATGCAGCAACTCCCATTGAAGTCAACATCAGTGGTAGTTATGTTCCAGTAAGCCTGCATCCAGGAGCAGACCATTCTAGTTTGCTTAACACTTGGATCTTTCAATTCCAGGTGCTAAAGGATTTAATCACACCAGAATTCACTGTTTTACAGGACTATTGTACTCTAAAATGTCACGATGCCCCCTACAGGTCTTACCATTGTCTGATTTGTACTCTCTCTTACTGCATTACTAGATCGTATTGTTGTAAATATGACGGGAGAGAGAATTTGGCTCTATTGCTCTGTCCTTACACCTTGTGTACTAGACGTAGAAACAAGCTTGTCTAATACAAAGAATCTTGCATAAAATTAGATTGGGGATTGCCTTCATCCCACTGGTTTGTACAGTCGTGGGTGACTCCTAGCACAAGTACTTATTTTGCTATGTGGGATAACTACTTGATAGTTCTTATTCCTGATTGAACTTTGTCAAGGGTGTTCTGTTTGGCTTAAACTTCATTGCCAAATGTAAACCTGGAAACTCTCCATATCCAGGAGTTCCTTCAGTGTTTTGCAATTCAGTATTGCCTCTTGCGTATTCGGCCAGGTCCTCGAAAAGCCCAGCCGTCCTTTTCATGGGCACAATTTCCATCCACAGTGCATTGCATCCTTCTTTTGAAGAATACCTCTGCCTAATTGTGGTTGCACTTGAGGTGCTTAGAAGTGCAAGTACTTTATTTCATGTCCAGAATCATCTCTGCAACAGAAAATTCAGTCTGCAAATGCTTTCTGAAAATGTAGTCCTAACTATTGCACTAGGCGCTTGAGATTGCATCATAGCCTCAGTGTTGAATTTCCTTGCTTTTGGCAGTTAAGTCTAGTCCTTGTTTATGTAAGTTATTTTGTTAATGTTACATAAAAGAAAATCTTAACTGGCTTCATGGCCGTTGGACTGACCCGGAGTATAATAGAACCTCAGAGTTACGAACTCACCAGTCAGCTACATAATTCATTTGGAACTGGAAGTACACAATCAGGGAGCAGCAGAGAGAGATTTTTAAAAAAGGCAAATACAGTACTGTTCAATGTAAACTACTAAAAAAAATAAAGGGAAAGCAGCATTTTTCGTTTGCATAGTAAAGTTTCAAATCTGTATTCAGTCCAATGTTCAGTTGTAAACTTTTTTGAAAGAAACACCATAATATTTTGTTCAGAGTTACGAACAACCTCCATTCCTGACGTGTTTGTAACTCTGAGGTTCTACTGTAGATGGTAGAATAGATTTTATCATAGCTTCTTCTGACTTGACCCAATGTCGGTGGAAAAGCTATGGTCCCTATCTTGCATCAGATGAGGATCTCTTTCATTGACCGCTTCTCTGCATGTGGCCGTGCTATTGCATTATTTAGTTTTAAATCTCTAATGTCATGTGCAGTATAGCAGGGACTTTAAAAGAGTCATCCTTTCTGAATTTTCTTTTCTAAATGGATAATTGCAAAGTGTATCTGTGTCTAGCCAGGGTATGGCACAATCAAGATTTCAGTTTATAAAAAAAAAAAACCCTTATTTTCCCATTGGCAGGAAAACAAAATAGCCATGAAAATAATTCATCTACTCTATCAACACCTTTACAAATCTAATTCTTAAAAAGCTTCAGGGTTGACTATTTATCCCAAGATTCACTGTGCTAATTAAACTGACAATTTATAAGCCTCTGCATTAGGGTCTTCGAGTGGAATATTTACTTGCTGCACTTGTCCATCCAGCAGTACTGCTGATTAACTTTATTTTTATGAAATCCTTAACTACCCAGCATTACTAGTATTTAGTTTTAGGTTCTGTAGTGCATGGAAAGAAAACAAAGTCTGCAAGTCTTGACCAAGGTGGTGTTGACCAAACTATAGCATGCACCAATTAAAACACAGCAATCACGACATTTTGTGTGGTGGCTTAATAGTAGAATGACTTGGTCATTTCATATTTCTGGTATCCTCCAAGGAGCATTCCCTTGGTTTTTGATAATGCGTTCTTGTGGCTGAATTACTAATGCCAGAAGGAACCATTCCATCTAGTCTGACTTGCATATCACAGGCCATTAAACTTCAGAGTTACCCCTGTATTGAGCCCAAGAACTTGTTTTGGCTAAAGCCTATCTTCTATAAAGGCATCTAGTCTTGATTTGAAGACATCAACAGATGGAGAATCTACCATTTTCCCTGATAGTTTGTTCAATAGTTAATCACCCTTATCGTTAAAATCTTCTCTGTTTAGTGATGCCCCAGGGCCTGAACCTGCATACTCTGACAGCATAGCATTTTGGCCAAAAAGTAGAAAATCTCTGTCCGCTAGTTTGGTTTGTGTGCAAGACAATTGTATAACCTCACGTACCTGGCAAAAAAGGCATTTCTGCAGATTTGTGACATCTCTAAAAATAGCTGTTTTTTAAATCTTGCACTTCAATTGAAATGGATCATTCTATGCCGAAACTTAGTTGCTTAAGATTTCTAAGAAGTCAGGATTGATAAGCAATTCAGTACATTAAGTAAGACGGTGGATGTTCACAGCCCACAAAATTGAGGAA